AACCAAGCTAGTGGAGAGTTTATATTTCAAGGAAATCACCCTGGTAATTTTATAACTTTATTAGATTAGAATATAAATTTTTTAACATACTTTGTTTATTTGTAGACTACAACCACAAGCCAGTAATTGCTTATCATGTTGTTGAGAAAACCAGAGTGATAAGGAATGAAACTGGAGATTCTAAAACTCTTCATCAAGGAAATTTTGACAAATCATCCAAACAGATGGAACATGCAATATTAATTGCTATTCTAAATAAAATTACACCAATACTTGATCAACATGATATGCTTTTAGATATATGTGTTGATGGTGATCTTGATAGCAATAAAACTCTGAGAGGAGAACGACAGGTCAATAAAGTTTTTGGTGATCTGAAGCATATAACAAAAAATATTAGAAAAAAAATAGGTGAGAAATTGATTTAACTTTCAATTATTATACATAATTGTATATTTACACATATACATATATACACATATTAATATATATGATTTATATATATATACATAATATATATACATACATATACATAATATATATATATACATACATATACATAATATATATATATATACACATATACATAATATATATATATACATATACATAATATATATATATACATATACATAATATATATAAGACAAAAATAATCGTTGGAAATCTTTTGAACAACCAATCATGCAATACTATCGAAATTGTGTGTATGCTGCTACCTTGAGGAAAATGACACCAGAAATGGAAACACCAACAGATGAAGAATTGTTTCATGTGCAAGTAGATGGATTAGTTGCACATCTAAGTGGTGATCACTCTTTATGTTGGGATGAAATATGCTGGTTGAAAAATAATTCTGAATTAGAGCTCAGAGAACCTCATCTTTTAAATTCTTCCAATGCTGAATGTGAAGCTTTTAGAAAAATGTTAAAAGAAAATTTTACCTTGACTACTAAACAAAGCCTGGTTACCCATATTCATACTTCACACAATGAATCATTCAATCATGAAAAGAATATTTTTCTAGATAAAAAATAGACTTTTGGCAATCTTTTGCTGCTTGTCATAGTTTGGCAGTTGTTCATCATAATGAAGGCATTTTGGAAATGATAAAAAAAACTAGGTCAATTACTGGGCTTGAAGCTCTTACCTCTGAAGACATTGCAAATATCAACAAGATTGCTAATGCTCGAGATTCCCAAAGAACAAAAAATTATGCAACAAAATCAAGAATTAATATCTTTTGATTTTGACCAAGATTTAATGCCATATGGAAAAGAGTTTCAAAGAAAAGTGGCATCAATTGAATACAAACCTTCATTTGCACATTTGATTCATGATTTTAACACAATTTCTAGATGTTTGGCATGTCATAGTTTTCCAAAGGTGTCTTCATCAGGACTTTGTCATGCATGTAACTTTTATCTTAAACATAACATGCATAATAGATTTCCTGATAAGTCTTTCCAATTACCAAATCAATCATCATCACCTGATAATCCTCCTTCGATTACACCACTGATTACTGAATTTTTTAGGTATTCGGGATATAGAGAATGTCAAAAAGAAAGCATAATTTCCTTTGTAGAAGGTAAAGACACAATGATTTTGTTACCAACAGGAGGAGGAAAGACTTTATGCTACTCTGCTTCTGCTTTATTTGTGTGAAGGCCTTACTGTAGTTTTCAGCCCTTTGAAAGCTCTCATAGATGATCAAGTGGTATGGTTAATTTTTAATTAATTAAAGATTATTTATTAATTTGCTTGCTTGCCTTTTAGATTGAAGTCACTAAAATGGGTATTCCTTGTGCTGGTCTTTATACTTCAATTGGACAACCAGCATCTTACCAAAAAAAAGTATTTGAAGAGTTATCTTTTGGTTTTATAAAAATTCTTTTTGTGACTCCTGAAAAGTTTGATAAAAACATTGGATTTCAGAAAATGCTTTACAGAATATATGAAAAGTTTGGTTTACATTTCATAATCGACAAGGCACACTGTGTTAAAGAATATAAATATTTTAGGTTTGATTATTTATTTTTGAATGATATTTTAATTTTTATCAAATAATAATGCTTTTAAACTTACAGACCATCATGGAGCAATTTGGGAAAATTAAGAGACATGTTTCCAGGTTCTCCCATAATGATGTTAACAGCTACTTGCTCCAGAGAAGATGCTGGCATAATTTGTAATTCCCTCAATGTAAGACCAGGAAATCTTAATATAATTCGTAGCTCTTCTTTTTCACATCCAGAAATCACATTGGATATCTGCCCAAAAGGATCAAGGGAAAAAATGATTGGTGATATAACCAACTTAATAAGTGAAATTCAAAATGGAAAGGTTATAATATATTGTGCAACTGTAAAAAGTTGTGAAGAAACTCTTGCACAATTAACCAGTAGGATCAACCCTACATTTAATATTGATATATATCATGGAGAATTAGATGGTTTGCAAAAAAGTCAAACAATGCAAAAATGGAAAAATGGTTATATTCAACTTATGATTGCAACAAATGCTTTTGGAATGGGAATCAACACAGCAGACATTCAACTTGTAATACATATCACCTTCCACTGAGCATAAGTAAGTATTAAGGATATAAAATTTCAATGGGTGGTTTGGATGACAACCACACAAATATATTTATTATTTATTGATTATAGGAAACTTGATACAAGAGGTTGGGCAAGCAGGGAGAGATAGAGTTGAATCAAAAAGTGTTTTGTTTTTCTCAAGAAATGATATTAGATCTGTATATGGAATTGTTACTAGTGGAAGAGAAAGGTAATGTTAATTTTTTCCAATTTAAAGGAAAAACAAATACAGGATTAACTTCATTACCTTTTTAGCTCAATTCAAAATCTATCTGATTTCCAAGATACCACCAATTTTGATGAATTATTTACTGGATAAGCAAAGAGACATTTTTAATGTAATTTATTATTGTGAAGAACTATATGTTTGCCGCCAAGTGATACTAAATGGTTATTACTCATGGCCAAAAGATAAGCCTGCACCTTCATGTAAGAAATGTGACAATTGTATTAGATTTGCTAAAGATAAACCTAGTTTGTATGATATAAGCAGTGATGTGCTTAGAATGTTAGAAGTAGTAGATGCAGTAGTTGATTTTTTGAAAAGAAAACAGAAAGATACTACAAGAGATGATATTATAGGTGTGTTCTGTCAAGCTAATAATAAAATATAAAAGAAAAAGGGCTTTCAGAATTGATGATCTATAAAACTACGAATAACAAAACCATAAAACGTCAGAATGATGCATTACATTTACTTGATCAACTCATTATTAATGGTCTTGTTTTGAGTGATATTGTTTTACGTAAATTGCCTAATCTTTCTAATTTCCATTGTTATATAGCAATAATTGGTTTAAAAGAAGATTCAATAACAGAAGCAATGTCTAAAAAATGGCAAACTCTTTTAAAAAATTGAAATCATTTAATTTTAATTTTAATTATTTTATTTTTGTTTTTACGTTTTCATAATAAAAAATAATTTTAGTGATCTGCAGCAAAAAAAAAAAATTATCCACTGTATCATAGTAAAATTCGTGTTACGTATACTCTACCCTTAAGGGTAGAGTTCGGTTACACATAATGACATATGGCAAAAATTTAAATTTGGCGTAAAAAAAATGGTTTGTACATATAAAAGTTCATGTGACTTCACCTAACAT